AGTAAGGTTACAAAGTACCCTAGTGGGGCTTATCAATGCTTTTAAGTATATAGTTATCTTACTTACGAACCGTACTTCGTAAGACCCCTGATCATTTAAGCAACATAGCCTAAACCCTAAACCCTAGACCGAAATCATTATTGTATAGCACAAGATACCCAAAAAAAACAACAATTTGAACTCCAGAGTTCCCGAAACCTTCTCCCAAGCCTCGTGGGGGCCGCGGTAGCGTCGCTTGAAGCCTGAACAGCTTCGGGTTCAGGACTGAGGCTTCGGGTGTATGGCTTAGGGTCTACTTGGAGGTTCATGTGTAGTTATAAGTGGGGATATAAGTCCCCGAATATGGGTTATTACTATAGATACCACTTATAACCCTACTTATAACCACCCATGAACCTCCAAGTAGGGCTTAAGGCGGGATGGAAAAGTCCCCAAGCGGCACGAAAGCTATTGAACAGAGCATCTGCAGCAGCTACAAAACCACCAGTTTCCATCCCACACAACAGTCCTTTCCGAAACAAAAAGCTTAAACCCTGAGTTTGCTGAGTCTACTAGGATGAACGATTGTGCTTAATGGCCCTGAACCGTAAACACTAAACCAGATGTCCTGAATCCGAAATGCAAAGGTATGATCGATGCTCCACCAGCACAAGAACCCTTTCGTTCAATCCCTGGCTAAACCATCAAGCGGCTTACAGTAGAAGCTTAAAAGTTGAAAACCGAATAGCCTCAATCCTCAAGAGTCATGTATAGGGAATCCCAGCACTATTTGGCCTTAATCCGGTTTCCAACTTTATCTACTATTTGCTTAAGAAACCCCAAAAAAAATAAAAATCATAATCCCTATAGTACCCCCATAAGGAATATATTTTTTATTGTTTGGGGGTTCTTAAGCAAACAGTAGTTATGGGGCTTACTACAGGGTGATAAGCTCCTGGGGCACTTTGTGCTTATCCTTCAAAAGGCACGTCACTACAACTTCGACCTCAACACCGAACATGTTAAACCCAAAAAGCTGAAGCCTAGGTGCCAGGCGCTAAACCCGGGATCAAAACGGCACCATAGCGCCCTTCCGCTAATCCATTGAAAAAGGCACTACGACGATGCAGAGGATTTAGTGATTAGAATAGGCTGTGATGGATTTGACGACGAAGAAGGAATCGGATTACATATGGGTAGTTGTCAAAATTAAGGTCCCTTTTGGGGTACCCTGAATAAGTATAATGGGGACCCGAAAGGGACTAGAATTTTGACAACCACCCATATTGGTTGGTATAACCCTAAACGTCACTGAACTCAAAGCTGCTAAGCTACAAACCCCAAGCTTAAGGCATGCTTGCTATAGGGACCTTGAGAGTTAGAGTAGGGCTTGGAGAATATTGTGTACTTCTATGAAGGAACCGTAAGAGATAGATACGTAATGCTACAGATTTATTTGGGCCCCTGCACATACAGAAACATCCGACACTTCGAGCTCGGCAGCTCTCAACAAGAACACGGTGTAGGGTTCAAGGGTTTAGGGTCTAACCAGAGTTCAGGGTTTAAGGCTTAGAGTACCGGGGGGAAAGCTCGCGGGATTCGGGTTTCGGCTTGAAGGTTTGTGACAATTCTAAGTTCAAGTTCAGCCAAGAACCAGAAGAACGATGAAACTTCACTCTGAAGAAAATGCCCCAAGCCTAAACCCTGAACCCTAGATCCTAAACCCTAAACCTTAGATTCTAGACCCTGAACCATCATATCCCGTGATGGGCCTCCTGGAAGCAAGCCATGGCTACCTCTTGCCAGGAGCAAGATTTGGGGCGTGGGGCTTCTTACGAAGACTTCGTTAAAGTCTGACATAGGGGCCTGAAAAATTTCGAGTAGGATTTTGAAGCGCATTATTCTACAATTACAATAAGGAACCCCCAAAAGACTATAGGCAATTACTAAGGCCCCCATAGTAGGGTCGCAAGTTCGGGGTTTCGGGCTTCGGCATAAGACTTCTTTAGGGTTTAGGGGTTAAGGTTTGCGGCGTAGGGCTTCGCAATAAGACTTCCAGGGTAGGGGCATCAGTTGACAAATTTCTAACGATGTTCCCTCGAGCCCTTCAAAAAGCGGTCTTGAGGGTCGCACAAATTTCGTGCCTTAGACACTAAGTCTAGCTACCGCTGACGGAGCTCTATGGGCTTCGGTGGCAAAGGTGGTGAACCCCTACCGGCGAGTCAAAAGAGGTAGTGACCCAATGCAACTGCCATTTCACGGGACATCTCAGGGTTTGATACTGTGCGGTTATGTCACAGCCTCCGACACGCTGAACGACCGCGCCAGCTCCCCAGCCCTTGCAGCTACAAGCTGCTGGGGGAGCTCCACCGCCGGAAACGCCATGGGTCCGGAGGTGACCAGGTTACTGGGCCGCACCTGGAAGATTAGGCCTCTGGCCACAATGGGACCGGCAGCCGCACTGGGCTGAGGAAGGATTTGCCATCCCTGGCCATTCAAAAGGGCTCGAGCAGCCTGCAGATGTTGCTCAAAGCACTCTCGCCACGTAGTGTCTGCAGGCGTCCGCATCCCGTGGCTGTCAGAATCAGGCAAGGCCACGCGCTCTAGCAAGTCCCTCCATTGCTTGGTCACAGCATCTGAGCCTTGACAATCCACATCAAAGTGTGTAATATAGGGGCCTCAGTAATTGGAGTAGGGTTTAGAGGGCCATTATACTATACTTATAATAAGGAACCGCCCAAAATAGTATGGGTGATTATTCAGGCCCCCATATTAGGGGTTTAGGCGTTGGGGTTTGGTTAGGGTTTGGGTTTGGGGGGCTTTTGTTGGAGTCTGGGCCTCAAGGGGGTTAGGGCTTTCCTTGGGGGTTCTGGCTTCAGGCTTTGGAGGTTGAGCATCAGTTTTGGTTTGGGATTTTGGGTTTTGGGGTTTAAGGGTTTAGGGGTTTAGTGTTTAGGGTTTAGGAGTTTAGGGGTTTAGGGGTTTAGGGGTTTAGGGGTTTAGGGGTTTAGGGGCTTAGTGTTTAGGGTTTAGGGTCAAGGGTTTTGTTGATGCAGCAGACCCCAGTGCGCTGACATGTCCGATGCGTGTGCAGTTGTTAGCTTGTGAATGCTTCCTGGCTCAGGGTAAGGCTGCGGAAACCGAAAAACCCTTGGGTCAGTTGAGTTCACATGTTTTATGCAGTCTGTAAGCAGTGCAGCGAAGGAACCAGAGCGTACTGTACAACTTATAACGCTCAGATCTTTGCAGAACAATGTCTTTGTTGTGTGGCGAAAAAGAGTGAGTGCGCGCATGGTGTGATTCATGGCCACTTCAAATTCGATGGATGCCACTGGGCATCAGCAGGTTATGGGCGCCCAAATGCTATGGGGTTGTTCCAGATGGTCAGACCCAGCATGTGAGAACTGGCACCCGGGACCCCGTGATGGGGAACTCCGCTACGAGGGAGACGTCTGACACACAGGCACGGGCAGCTGAGGGTGCGACTGCATCAGGGGCGACGGTGGAACCGACGTCTGGAGTGCAGACTAGCGCACCTACAGCTACGAGAGCCCCAGGTGGTGCCCCAGGGGAGGCGGACGCTGTAGCAGCTCTGGAGCAGGCGAGGCGACAACCGGCCGCGACGACTCGGGAAGCTGACAGGACTCCTCCTACTGGAAGTCGCAGCGCTGGAGCTGAGCAATCTGGTGGTCAGGTCGGCTTCTATACTCCAAGGTCGTCTACGAGCCAGAACAACTGGTTGGCGACACTCGAGATGCCCCGATGGGTGTCGAGACTGGGGAATTACCTCAGTACTGGATATCCGGAGTTGGCTCCAAGTCCCTTAGCTGCGGGACGAAGCTCGCCCTCTCCAGGAGGACCTACGTTCGTACTGCGATCTCCGCAGCGGCCTTCAAGGCAGCAGAGATCAACCACTCCTCCCTCTACGTCGAGCGTTCCTAATGAGGCGATCGAGGCGGAGGTACAGAGGCAGCTGGGTGGATTGATCGGGCGGTTACAGATCGCGGAAGAGCGGAACATGCAGTTGTTTGCAGAGCTTGAGCAAGCCCGTCAGGCTCAACAGGAAACGGCGCGACCACTTCTGGGAGATTTGGCTACTGGGCCACTTGGACCTGGAGATGCGTGGGAGCGCGCAGAACTGAGAGGAGTGAGGAGAGAAGGTGAAGTTCCTGATACTGTATATCAGCCTCCTACCCTACCACATGTAATATACGGCTCAGTATCTCAAGCCCCGGCTCTACCTCTTGATGCTTCTGAATCAGTACGTCAACCCCCTACACTACCCCGAGAGCTAGAACATCTACCTCAACCTCCCACAGTACCACCTGGAATTCCTGGTCTACTACCACAAGGTAGCGAAGGACCCTCTCTTCTTCCACAACGAAGTGACCAAAGGCCACCTCAGGCACTTGGCCCGACAGCTCAGCAAGTGAGAAGGGATTTGGCTGGGGATTTGGGTTCAGTACCATGCCGTGACGATCAAAGGGCTGGATCCGGTTTCCTCCGCACGCTGCTGGGGCCTAGGGGAAGGACACCATCACCCGAAGACCGTCGGGGAGAACCAGAACCTTCGGTACTACAAGCACTAAGGGTGTTCGTCAGTTGCAGGAGTTACAGGCACAAGCAATGAGCAGGGCAACTACAGCTTCTGCTGCTGAGGTGGTGAAATCGTCTACCACATCTCTGCCTGCTCTTCCGACGATCAGCGACCCAGCAGAGGCCGCCTTGGCCTTTCAGGACTGGGTGGAGGTGTCATCTTCAGCGATGGGAGACATAAGTGAGAGATCGGGAAACTGGTGGGCATCTGTGCTACAGGTCGTTGAGAAGACATATGCAGAGTGGCTTGCAGCCACTCCCCTTGAGAGGTTGAGAGTAGCACCACCTGCTACCCATGGACTATGCACAGGTGGTTGGTCGCGATTGAACGCCCGCGCGGCGTCCATGCTCTTGTCTGCAATGGAGGACGAGCTAAAGAATGAGATGGCTGCCTTATAAGGGTCACCCAGGACAGTGTGAGGATCATGTTCCGGCTGTATGTTCGGTTTCAACCTGGCGGTGCAGCTGAGCGTCATGATGTACTTCGCAGGCTCCAGGCCCCGGGCGAGTTCATGGGAGGAGAGGGACTGGAACATGTCCTTCAGGCCTTGAGATCGTGGCCGAGGTGGCTTGCTCGCTGTAAGGCGGTTCGAATGGAGCCACCCGACCCTACCGTCTTGGCGAAGGGCCTGTTGATGATGACGGACAAGTACATCACCGCATCGGCGGATGCCTCCTTCAGAACAGCTATGCTGCGGACCTCTCTTCGTCTTGATGCCCAGCCGAGCCTGGAATCTGTTCAGGCTTACCAGAAGCACTTACAGGCCGAAATTGAGGTGATCGCAGCAGGGACAAGGACATCAGCGACTACGGCGGGACCTAAGTTGCGAGCAGTGGATACGAGCGGGAGTGTGAGTCCTACCAAGCAGAAGGACCGTGGTACAGAGTTGCGCCGATACTTCGCAAAGCCGTCAGCAGGATGCAAACGCGGGGAAAAGTGCAGCTACAGCCACTCAATGGCGTCCCTTGATCGGGAAACCCGGTCGAGGAAGTGCCTCAAGTGTGGAAGCGAAAGCCATCGTCAGAAGGATTGCGTTGTGGGGAAACCAGGAGTTCGTCAGCCACAGGGAGGGACAGCGGGGAAAGATAAATCTGGAGCGACCTCTCAGGGGTCCACGATGGCGCCGTTGTCCTTGCCCTCTACCTCAACACCTTCCTCGACGGTATCTTCTACGGTTACCGGAACTCTCTGGACACTTGAAGCCCTTGTACAGGCAGCCCAGCAGGTTGTTCAAACCCAGGGCCTCAGCGATGGAGGAAGCTCACCTGAGAAGACGGCCACCGCACAGCTGAAGACGGTCAAGATCAGCAACATCCACGTATGCTCTACCGGGAGGAATGCAGCGGCTCTCCTAGATTCGGGTGCCACCCATTGTTTACGAAGCGCCTACGGTCAAGACGAGTGGGAGGAGTCGGAGGAAATCCTAGTGGAGCTTGCGGGCGGAAGCAGCCTGGTCATGCGTATGAGTCCTACGGGAACGTTGCTTATGCCACCGAGGCCAGCGTCACCTACCACATCAACTTCAACTACAGCGGCCCAGACGATTGTGCCAGTGGGACAGCTAGTCAAAGTTCTCGGCTATACTCTGGTGTGGGGACCCGGCAAATGCTACCTCATGCACAACGCTCAGCTGTGTGAAGCGGAAGCCCTGTCTTTGATCGCGCGAATCGAGGACCGAAAGCGGGAGACGTTGGAGAACATCGTGGAGGATACGAAGGACCGGGTTTCAGTAGCAGCTCAGAGAATGAGTCGCGGATGGCAGGACCACCTCCTGGAGTACGTCGAGACGGGCTCAATGCTTGCTGGTGGACGGGCCTTGAGAGATGCTTCGTTTTTGCAAGGTCTCCCCGCGGAATGCTTGGAGGGGCTAGTCCAGGAGAACATCACCCCTGGAAGCTGGAGCATAATGAAGTCGGTGGACTTCCTCACCAGGGCTCAGAGGCGACATCTATGGGGAGCTCGTCGATGGGTTGTTCATGTCTTTGCGGGGAAGCCTGGACACTATCAGGTGTTTCGTCTTGACGAAGGCAACACAGCAGTGATCGAGCTGGACCTGGAGCGGTGCAAGGCCCATGATCTCAACTCCTTGTCGACTTGGAGACTCCTACTTTGGGGAGCGCTGATGGTAGGAGCACCACCTGGACGCAGCGGACTATGTGGAGGAGAAAAGGACGTGAAGGTTCTGAAGCTAGTGACAAGAATGCTGTGGCTATACTCGGCAGCTAGAGCGGAGGCGACGAACTATGGGATGGAACAAGGACAGACCAGTGGCCTTCATGATGGAGCATCCCTCGGCGACCTCTCTTACTACGTGGTCACGAGTGGACCGTTCCTTGTGGGCCACCACAATGTGGCAGGAGTTCCGGGCGGAGATGGACATTGATGAGGTGACCTTCGATCAGGTCGCAACAGGGGCGACACTTAGCAGCCCAACAACATTGGGAACGAACATCTACTACCTCAAGGGGCTGAGCGATTTGGGACTGGATGGGTGTGAAGGAGCAACATCTACTACAGCGCGGGAAGGTGCGACATCTACTACAACGCGGGAAGGTGCGACATCTACTACAACGCGGGAAGGTGCGACATCTACTACAACGCGGGAAGGTGCGACATCTACTACAGCGCGTGAAGGTGCGTCATCTACTACAGCGTGTGAAGGTGCTACATCCACTACACCTACTACGGGAGTCCAGCCGAGAGCCCCCAGACCTACCGCCACGTGGTCACCTGGACTGGTGGACGCGATTGTGATGGCACTGAGGTTCTGGGAAAGGGGACCATGCGAGGTGCCTTCGGTGATGGCAATGACAGCGAGTCAGTGGAAGGAGCATATGGCTTCAGGACATGCTTGCTATCGTAGAGATTGTCTGACTTGTGTTATGGCCCGGGGAACCGGGAAGCGGCATGCAAGAATCAGGCACCCAGATTCATTCTCACTCACAGTCGATGTTGCTGGCCCAGTGAAGCCGGGTGTGGACTGTACTTCGAAGGGAACAATGGGAAAGGGCCTGAGATACATGCTGGTTGCCAGATACACTTTGCCGCGGGAGTATGTGAAGGGCTACACCGGGAAGGAACCTCCAGGCGACGATGGTCTTCAAGTTGAGATGAACTATGAGAACGTTATGGAGCGTGCTGAGGAGGAGGGCGATGACAAGGAACTTGCGAAACCTCCTCTACCACAACCTCACGAAGGGGATCCAGAAAGGAATAGTGATAGTATTTACGATGACGAGGAACTTGCGAAACCTCCTCTACCACAACCTCACGAAGGGGATCCGTTCAGTTTAGATGGCGATGAGTCGGGTGAGCAGGGTCCTTGTGAAGATGCAGGCGATGAGTGGGGTGAGCAGGGGTCCCATGTGCAAGGCGATGAGAAGTTTGCCGGGAGTTCTACAAAGCAGCGTGGTCACCTCGAAGACTATGAGGACTCTCTTTATGAGCCTTCTGAGGCAGCTGAGGACAACGAGCAACCTTCCCAGGAGGAGAAGCGCGAGCCCGGTGTGATTCAGGATTGCGAAGAACCAGCGACTACGTGCCTCCTGTTCGCAAAGGGCATGAAGGACAATTTGTCTGCTACAGTAAGAGGCGTGATCCAGGACATTGTGTTGTACTTGGAAAATCATGGACTACCTGTTTATCGGCTGCACTCAGACAAGGGGGAGACTTTCAATCACTGCACGAGAGCCTGGTGCCGAGACAGGGGGATCAGAGCGACTTGGTCAGAGCCTGGAGTACCACAGGGAAATGGCCAAGCAGAAGCTACGGTGCGATGGGTCAAGGATCGGGCACGGACCCTTCTGTTGGGATCGAGGCTGCCTACAAGACTGTGGGCATTGGCGGTGGAGGCGGCTACAGCGATGCAACGATGTAAGGTCCTTGGTTGGAAGTCGAAGCTGATGGCTCCATTTGGCGCTACCGTCCACATCAAGCAGAAGGCCTTCGATTCGTCGGGACCCAGAAAAAGAGATCGAGCATTCGAGACGAAGTGGACTAAGGGCACCTACGTTGGCCTCAGTTCGATATTAGATGGGGGACATGTAGTCTATGTACCGCAGGGAACCGAGGATGACAAAGAAAAGTTCCTCCACACCTTCCACGTGAGACCCAGACTGTTCGATCCTGGAGTACCACTTGATGAACTACAAGTAGAAGATCCACCACGACCGAGGCGGAGGATTGTTGAAAAGCAGCCACCAGACCAGATCGAGATGAAGGCTGCAGGTCTAAGCGACAGTGACGTGAATGAGTATGTCCGGAAGAAATCGGCCTGTTTGTTGGACCAGTGGGACCCAGTACAAGTAGAAGCTTTCATCATGGAGCTGTTGGATGCTAACTTCTTCCAGGAGCGCAAGTTCGGGATCTTCAGACATGGCGGTTCAGTGGGGTGGCTAAATGGATCGGAGGAGTTTCCGGATTTGGCCAAGGTCTTGGGAAGGATCATCCTTGAAGCAGAACCCGAAGCAACGTTTACTTCTTTGTGGGTGACAAGGGAATCGATGAAGGGATACCACAAGGACAACAACAACGACGCCGATTCCCTAAACTACGCTCTCCCTCTACAACTTCCAGAGCGAGGAGGAGAACTGTGGTTAGAGTTGAGTCCTGGGGATGTGCTGAAGGGCGACGTTGTGGAGCGCACAGGTGCTCGGGGTCGTGGACATTATGGCCAAGTCATTCCACTAAGAAAGGGAGTGTGCAATGTTTTCAATCCGAGATGTGGACATGAAGTTCTACCATGGACAGGAACACGATCAATGATCATTGCCTATACGCCCCAATGCATGGGAAAGCTGGATTACGATGTGGTCAGGAAATTGGAAGGTTTTGGTTACCCAACTCCACTCTCCCAGCTGCCCGAGTATTTTGTGCCAGGACCTCCAGAGCTGAACGTCATGAGTGCGGATCGTGAAGGTCAACTACGTCCAAAGGAACAGGAGGAGTCCGAGAATGTGATCACTGGCCTGTACGGTGACGATGAGTGGGAGATGTTCTTGGATGTTCCAGGCGGAAAAGTCAGACTGGGGAATCAGGAGGAGCCAAGCTCACAGCCACAACTCCCGAGGGCATCAAAGGTGGAAGTCGGCTACACGAAGGAGATTGAGCGTGTGCTAGCGGAGCTACGTGGACCACTCAAGGTGACTCACACAGTCGATCCTCGAGAAGTTCAGCAAAACATTGAATGTTGGCGGGAGGCGATCGAGAAGGAAGTGAAGAATGTTGAAGTTGCTATTTTGAGGTTGCTACCAGGAACTTCAGAACGGGCGACATGGATAAGGAAACCTCGTGTCCAGCGTCTACCGGCCAAATTCGTCTTCACGGTGAAGCCGGGGGATTCTCCAGTGGAAGAGGACCGAACGACATGGTTCAAGCGCAAAGCGCGCCTTGTCGTCTGGAAACTTTGCTCGTCCGGACGAGGCGGAGCTCTACTCCGAAACCCCTCCCACCGAAGTTCTCCGGGCAGGACTGGCTATGTCACGACGGCGACGATGGCAGATTGCCATCCTCGATGTTGTAGCAGCCTTTTTGCGAGCTCCGATTGGCGACAATTCTTCGGACCCTGTCGTGCTGGTGGCCCCACCGCGGATGCTGCTGGAGTTGGGCCTGATTGTGGAGTTCGAGTTGTGGGCGCTTGTACGCGCCTTATACGGCTTACGCCAGGCGCCGGCTTTATGGTCATCGTACAGGGACAAGACATTGGATGCCTTGAGCTTTCCAGGGAATCTATCCCTAAAGCGAGGCAGCGCGGTAACGGCATGGTGGGTCGTGCAGGACAAGGCTTGCTGCACCGTCGCGATTGTCATCATCTACGTTGACGACATTATGCTGATAGGGCCCAAGGGAGTGGTGGCTACGCTATCAGAGGCGATACAAGGACTGTGGAAGACTTCACCACTGACCTTCCTTACACCACAGTCCCCAATACGGTTCCTAGGTATGGAGTTGCAGTTGAGTTCAGATGAAGCGGTCGTGTATGTCAACCAGACGGCCTACATCGAGGAAATCTTGCGAGCCTACCAGGTCAACCCGAACCAGAACGATAAGATCCCTATAAGCAAGGAGCTTTCGAGCTTCGAGGTTGGACCAGACGACACGCCCCCACACCAGAGAGCGTGGCAGCAGCACAGAGAATAACGGGGGAATTGATGTGGATAGCCCAGAAGACAAGACCCGATCTGTCATACACGTGTTCCCTACTTGCTTCTCTGTCAACGAGGGCGCCGTCGAGGTGTTTGGCCGTTGGAGAAAAAGCTCTACGTTACCTACAAAGCACCAAAGAATGGAGGATGAAGTTTCTCAGCGACAAGACGGACCTGGTCCTCTACCCGGATGCGGCATTTGCTCCCTCCTCGTCAAGGTCGCATAGCGGATGGATGGTTATGTGGAGTGGATCAGCGATATCATGGAGGAGTGCGAGACAAAGTACGATAGCTTTAAGCACGGCTGAAAGTGAGCTGTTAGCCATCCTTGAGGGTGCAGTTGGGATGTTGGGAGTAGAAGCCATGCTCTACGACATCAAGATCGGGCCCCTCAAGAAGACCATTGCGAGTGACAGCACGAGTGCACTATGTATTAGCAGTGGCACCGGGTCGTGGCGCACAAGACATCTACGTCTTAAAGCGGGATGGGTTCAGGAAATGCTCCAGTCGGGAGCCCTGGAAGTGCGACATGAGCCAGGCGTGACGCAACCAGCGGATATGCTTACGAAGGCCCTAGCGTCACAAAGATTGAAGGCGCTGATGGGCTTATGGGGCATGGAAGAACCGCAAGGTGCACCAAGGGTGGCAGTGAGTATGCCCTTACCGAGGCCGTCTACGAAGGTGATCATGGCGTTGGTGTATTGTATCCTGATGCTGACGGTGGAAGCGAGAGATCCTGTGTCAGTTCCCATGCAGGTAGATGCCGACCTACTGGGAATCTCGATGGTCCTTCTGATGATCCTGGGTGGCTTGGTGATTTGGGAAGGGCTTAAGTGGATCGTGGCAGAGCTCTCCCAGGAATGGCTGCCTGGAGCTTCCCAGAGGAAGCTCAGGAAGTTAAGAAAGCTGAGAGATGCTACGACGCAAGCGATCGAGCGGGAGCTGGAGCGCCTGGGCTCAGCAGCTGCCTTGGAACCTGGTGTGGGGCAAACCCACACGTCGACTACGAGCGTGCCTACGAGTCCAAGGAGAACCGCGACCTCACAGCCCTCCACGATGAGACCTACAACGCCTTCGAGAGCAACGCCCTCGAGAACCACGCCCCCAAGGGAGCGGGATCGATCTGATGACCAGAGGTGGGTGTTGAGCTCACCTACGCCGAGCCAGGGAAGTGATGATCCTAGTGAACTCCGACGAGTCTGCAGTGATCTGGCTGGACTTATGAGGTGCGAGGAGCTTCGTGAAGCTTTACGGATCAATGGTCTTCAGACCTCTGGCCTAAAGGGTGATCTCAGCGCACGACTGGGCGGGGCAATGGTGGCTATGTATGGTGGAACAAATCTACCGACCATAAGACAATACAAGTACCTTTTGTGGTTGTGGCGTCACCGGAACCTGCAAGGAAAGACCCTGCTTTCATGGGCGTGCATTATAGATCGACAAGCTGCATCACGAACCATAGCGAACTGGGATCGCCTGTAAAGTGGGCTGTTCACCCCTCTCGGTGCGACAGAGGAGGAGTGTTGATGCAGCAGACCCCAGTGCGCTGACATGTCCGATGCGTGTGCAGTTGTTAGCTTGTGAATGCTTCCTGGCTCAGGGTAAGGCTGCGGAAACCGAAAAGCCCTTGGGTCAGTTGAGTTCACATGTTTTATGCAGTCTGTAAGCACTGCAGCGAAGGAACAAGAGCGTACTGTACAACTTATAACGCTCAGATCTTTGCAGAACAATGTCTTTGTTGTGTGGCGAAAAAAGAGTGAGTGCGCGCATGGTGTGATTCATGGCCACTTCAAATTCGATGGATGCCACTGGGCATCAGCAGGTTTAGGGTTTAGGGCTTAGGGTTAGGAGGATTTGGAACGGAGGGCAGCATCACCAACACGGGATCACGTCCCAGACACTTCATCGATCCCCACTTCACGAACCCTGTGCTACGAACCCGAAAGTCATCCCAAACTCTCCACCTAAGCCCTTCGCCCCAAACCCAAAACCCGAGCTTCCACCAAAAGAGACCTCAAGCTACGGTAACACACGTGTGAGAAAAGTCAGTAGTAATATCACTCCTTATGGTCCGCAAGCTGTTATACTACGACGTCCACAAACACTTTTCCGGTGATGTAAGCAAGCCCCGATATCAAACCGAACCCTACACTTCATGAATCCCGTGTAGAGCCCGTTTAAACACCCCTACTTGGAGGATCATGGGACTTAGTAAGTAGGGTTATAAGTACCCTAATTGGGGTTATATGTAATTATAAGCATAGTTACCCTAATTATAACCCTAGTTACTAAGTCCCATGACCCTTTAAGTACAAGCCCCTGAGCCCACCTACGTAGAGTGGAAGGCTGCGGGAGCAGAGGACATCCCCTTCACCCCGGCGCACCACGAGCCTTGGCACAGCCGCACGTGTTGCCATGATGTTACCCAGAGAGCCCAATTAAGGAATACCTAGGGTTCCTTTAAGGGATCTACAAGGGATCTATAGGCCTAGGGTTTAGGGGATTCCAATACCCCTGAATAAAGGAAAATAGCTTAAACTATGTAGGGTTTAAGCTATATTCCTTAATTAAGGGGTATTGGGCTCTCTGGGATGTTATTACCCCAAGGGGCAACAGGACTCAATAATTAGGTACTCGGTTTTAGGATAGTAGTTATGTAAGTCAGGATGTTGGAGAGTATATGATTTTTAGGTGCTTGGACCCTTAGGGTTACATCCGTAGCACCATGATTGGGATGGTCTTGGGGCGTCCAGACTGGGAATAGCTCACATGTCCGAATACTTGGTATCCGCTTCTGGTTCCTGCATAACTATTCGAAGGTTTACCCCAAAAACATATAACTTCTAATTCTCAACTACATCGCTAGAATTTACATCTTCTGGAGCCTCAAGGATAAATGCCGCTAATCCCCTCTACACCCTTTGTGGAACTTCTGAGCCCGTTTCAACCCTTACAGGACCCATTGAGGAACCCTGTAAGGAACCTTAACATCCTAAACCCCCGTCCATGTTCACCTTGAATCAAAACCAGCACGATCCGATCCAAGCCGGCGCAAGTGAAGCCCTACATGGCCCTAATTGATCCCTAAACTGCTTGGAGCTTAGTGTTGCTTAAAACCTCAGCCTAAAAGTCGTCTTATAAACCCCCCAAAACCCAGATTCCAGATTGCAATTCTGAAGCCTCGCGAACATTGAGCCAAGAAGCTGCATGGACTCATCCTCCAGCCAGCCCTGCGTGTCTGATTTACGCTGAATACCGACAGGAACCATGGCACAGCAACAGCAACGACAACAACAGCAACAACAACCACAACAGCAGCAGCAGCAGCGGCAGCAGTAACAGCAGCGGCAACAGCAACAGCAGCGGCAACAGCAACAGCAACGGCAACAGCAACAGCAACGGCAAAAATGACAATGCCAATGAGCAGCATTGCCGGAATGCACAGACACAATATGGCGTCAAATTCTTACTGGTCGCCATGTGTACAGGTGGAAGCATGCAGAGCGCTCTGGACGAGAAGTGTTTGGTATCTTCAGACCTGCGTCACAGCCCCAGGACCCAGGGGACGGCACCCCCCGAGCACAGTACCACACAATCAAGGTCTCACGCACCCCAAGACACCCTCTTGATGAGAGACATAATGATGATGATGACGACCATCAGGATCATGATGATCAGAAGTGATAATGATGAACATGATGTTAATGGTGATGGTGACGGATGACGGATGACGATGGCGATGATGATGATGATAATGATGATGATGACGGTGGTGATGATGATGATTGTTGTTACTTTTATGATTATGATGATGATGATGACATGCAGGTGACACTGATGATGACGGCAGTCACGAGGATCATCGTGATCATTTTCCTGGTGATGAAGGTGGTCATGTTCATAATGACGACGAGGATATTTACGAGCCTTACGTCGCACGGCAACGACGTCATGAAGTATCCGCAGAAAAATCGCGAAATTCTGGTGCATGCGACGGGAAGAACACACATGCTCGAATATCGAATGACGCGTTTGTGGTCAAATAGCTTTTTGTGGGTCCCCTATAAATTCTATACTGGCTTTTATGTTAAGACTCTGCAGAAACTCAGGTTATGGTAGGTTCCCTAAACCCTAAACTCTAAAGTAATGTTAAGTCCCTCACCTCAGACACCCCAGCCTCGCGAAGTAGGTCGCGCCCTTCTTCCACGGAAGCCTTCGGCTGCCGATTCTAAGAAATCTCTTAGCGTTCGAGGAGGCATTCTGAAGGTTCTACGGTTTAGTGTCTAGCGGTATAGTCTACGGGGTTTGAAGCTTTCGGGCTTGAAGTTTAGAGTTGAGTATAAACGCCTAGAAGTCATCTCTGTTTGCACATGGCGTTTCTTGAAATCGGCACCCTTGCGGTGGTCTATAAAGCAAGGAGCCCTACACCCCTAAAGCCCCCCCTAAACCCTAAACCCTAAACCCCTAGACCTACCCAACGAAGCCTCGTACCCAATAGGCGCGAAGCAGAGCCCTGCCTGGTCCGAGGCCCGGCCGCTGCTGTCGTCCTGCCCGGGTTTCGGGGTTTAGGGTTTAGGGGTTTAGGGGTTTCGGGGTTTGGGTTTGGGTTTAGGGTTTAGGGTTGAAGGGTTTAGGGTTTAGGGTTTAGGGTTGAAGGGTTTAGGGTTTTAGGGTTTAGGATCTAGGGTTTAGGATTTTAGGATTCAGTTTAGGGTTTAGGGCAAAGTTTTGCTCAAGAAAGCACCCTAAACCCCTAAATCCTACACCCTTAGAGTAGAAGCCAGAAAGTTGGAACATGGATTTAGGATGATAAGTGCTAGGATTCCCTCTACTTTACCTTAAGGGCATGAGGATAATGATGTTTCAACTTTCTGGTGCAAGTGTAAAGATATACATATAAATGTACATATACATCGCAATATCTGCATGTGTCTCAGTAGAACAACTCAACTCATAAGTATGCTTGTTGCAGCACAAGTGCATAAACAAGCATCTTGCTAAACAAATCAAATACATGTACATCATACCAATACAAATGTAGATATACATGCATGCATTCGTGCATGCAGGACATGACACCACGTCACAGAGCATAACATGACATAGCATAACAACACATCGCACAAACCTTCTACATAACATGCCACTACACAAAACCATAATACAATGTGTAAGCTGCGACACACCGCACGGCATTCCACACGACACTACACCGCAGCGCACTACACTACACTACACTTCAACACGGTACACAACATCTCAGCAGAGCATCTTACACAACATTTATCTTTATTACATTGCATACCGTCAGCCATTTCCATGCATTCAATGCACTGCAACACACTGCAACGCACTGCACCGCATTGCAAGCATGCCTACATGCATACTAACGCGCATACACGCATGCATGCAACAATGTACGTTTGTCTGTCTGCCTCTATGTATTTATGGATGCATGGATGCACGTATGCGCGTGTATGCGCTTTTAGTGGCACGAGCCTCAACAATCCAGAAACGGTTCCGAATGCACCAAGACAAAGGGTAAGGTGGAGAATCCTGCAGATCTAAAGTTTGCGGATGTTGGCACCTCTTTAAAAATCTTCCTTGAGCCTTGGGAAGTTGTCATCTCGTCCCCAACCCTAAACCCGAAACCCCAAACCCTAAACCCCTAAACCGTAAACCCTGAACCACAAGCCCAAGCGCTCAGTCCGTCTCCGCTTCGGCGAGGGTGTCCCCCACTGCCAGCTGAGACGGCTTTGCGGAAGCCTCCGCTGGATCAGGGTCACAGTTTCGGGTTTAGGGTTTAGACCTTAGGGCCACTATATGGGTGAATGTCAAAATTATGGCCCCTTTTGGGGTACCCTAAATATTAGTTGCCGTATTATAGTAGGGACCCAAAAGGGGACCATAATTTTGACAACCACCCACATGGCTGACATTGGACGGTAGTAGGCACCTTAAAGAGAAACTAGATTTGGAACACTCTCCACTTAAGACCCAAGTGGCCTTGTAGAACGACGAAACCTTCATGTTCTGCTGAGGTCGGCAACCCTCCCCGTCAAGACTCTAAACCCTACTTGGAGGTTCATGGGCAGTTATAAGTGGGGTTATAAGTCCCTTGATCTTGGTTATCATTTTTAAATATATGATCCTACTTACAAACCCTACTATGCTACCTATCATGAACCTCCAAGTAAGCCCCAGGCCCCGCTGGAACATGAACCCTAAAACAGTAAACCTTAGCCTAAAACTTCAATCCTAACAGCCCCAAAAAACCCTAAA